CAGGAATGATCAAAACAGCGAAATTTCGAAAATTAGAAAAATGGCAGCATTTTGAAGTCTAAATATCGTTTTTCTTGTGCTTTTCGTCCTTTGGGTGGCAAAAGAAAAATAGAAAAAAAAATCGGATTTTGAAATTCGTGGTTCACGAGATAAAGGTATATCAGGTGAAGGTCTCTTCCAAATTTCGAGTCAATCGGTCAACTACAACGCGAGATATCAGGTCAGCTAGTTTAAAAAATATGGTTTCGAGAAAAACGCATTTCAAGTTTTCATTACCCATTGTACAGTGGCTGTATACCGCACTTTAAACACTTATAACTTTGTTAATCTCACAAATATAAACAAATCCTTTTGTATAGAGATTTTTTAAAGGGTACGCTTCTTTAAAATGTGAAAAAAAAATCGATTTTTGTCAGCCGGATTACAATACCCCCTTAATTAAAAAATTTGACAGGAACGATTTGATGTTGATTCGTTTACATTATAATAAAATAAAACTATTTTTGAAAAAATAGCAAAGCTTCCATGCTACAATTAATACTAAAGAATTTTATTTTACGTTATATTTAGAATTTTTAAATACTTGTATGAGATAGTTAACCAATTATACGACTCAAGCCACTGCCATAATCACTAGTATTACATACATGGTGAGTCGATAAAAGTAACCATGTGAAATAACTAGTTATCTATTTAATATATTGGGAAATGCTAAAATAAAATTCTTATGTCGCATAGTTTTTAAGATAATAAAATAACTTTGACTTTTTTCAACAGCTCTGTATATTATACATTATTAAAAATAATATATTCAGTTTTTCTATTATGAAAAAATTAATTAAAAATTCTCTATTGTTACTGTGAATTAATAAAATAATTTGGTAGCAAAATTAAAAAGAATTTTAAAAGTGGAGTTAATCACTTTGGTCTATAATCATTTTATTTAGGAAAAATAAATTTTAAAATAACAAAATAACCTTGAATTTATTAAATGGCTCTGTATATTATACATTATTAAAAATAATATATTCAGTTTTTCTGTTATGAAAAAATTAATTAAAAATTCTCTATTGTTATTGTGGACTAATCAAATAATTTGGTACCAAAATTAGAAAGAATATTAAAAATGAAGTTAATCACTTTGGTCTACCATCATTTTGCTTGGAAAAAATAAATTAATTATGCGTTTGAATAAATGAAGAAATTAATTACTACAGAATTTGTCTATTCTATTGTTATTGTGGACTAATCAAATAATTTGGTACCAAAATTAGAAAGAATATTAAAAATGAAGTTTATCACTTTGGTCTGCCATCATTTTGCTTGAAGAAAATAAATTAATTATGCGTTTGAATAAATGAAGAAATTAATTACGACAGAATCTCTCTGTTCTATTCTTCGCCAGTTTGTGAGAATTCATCAATGACTCATCGTCCATGTTTCATTTTGGGGCGAGATTCATTTTGGAGAGATCTTGCTGAAATTCTAGGCAAGAAGGTGGGAAATAGTTCTCACACCGATGCGGAGAAGGGGTGGCTTGTCAGTCGAAATCAAGTTAACCACTGTTCATTTCGCTCGACCGTGTCGACCACTTTGAAAAAACAATGGCTGACCCAGTTCTGAATCGAGGATCAATTCGGAATTCTGTATTGTGCGAATTCGCCTGACTTGCGGTTGATCCGTTCGCGAAATACGATTGCTCTGAGTTTGCGCTGTAAGCATGGCTGGCAATCGTCGGATTGTTAAATAAACGATATGTGGTTAAATTTGATGGATAGTAATAGATTACACAGTGATAGGAAGATGTATCGTGTAATGCCCTTGGAAAAATATTTTTGGGTTAATGTAGCTTTAGGAACTGTTCCCTTTACTTATACTTTGTACGTAATATAATTATCGATTATGGTGAAATATGAAATTAAAATTAGAATATTTCGAATGAAATTTAGGGGTGCTTTGAAATTTTTTATTTCGAAGAAAAGTCAGAGTAATTTAATATATTTGATATTTTACTCTTTTCTATAAAGTCTTTCCTTTTAATTTAATTTTATTTTAGAATAAATTTAGAATTTCCTAAATATATTTAAAAATAAATTTATTGAAAAATATCATAAAAGTCATAAGAGAGAAAAAGTTTACTTATGTTAATCTTAAAACTTAGTGTATATACTGACATTTTTAAAAAGTTAAATAAATTGATAATTAATGAGATATTTTTCGCAATTAATATTACAATTTTCTGATTTCATTAATAATTGCATATTGATTCATATATATTGAAACATCTGCAATCTAATATAAAATTATCATGAATACCATGTAAATCACAGAAAAAATTAACAAAAATTAACAGCAGCAATGAAAAAGAAATATGAAGAAGATAATGAATTAGTGGTCATGTATCATCCTTCACAATCCACTGATCTGTAAGTATTGTTAGATGCAATACTAGGTTCGAATTGGCAAACTCTCTGAAGTTTGTTTCACGTCTGAAGCTGACTTGAGAAATCATTTGCAGTACGTATGAAACTGAATGAATATATTAGTATATACATGCACGTATATACTACATGAACCAAAATTACAATGGACACAACATTCCTTAATAATTATTTCATTCATCACTGCACTCCTAATATTTATGAATGGATGTATACACACTACTAAAAATTCCTTATTATTAAGTATTCATTAAATACTCGTATCCATGAATATATTGAACATTTAATCTGTATCAAAATAAATCCACACTAAAATTTTCTTATTATAAATCAGAATAAATTATATTATAATCTCGTTCTATAGATACGACGTGAATTTATCTCCACTGTAAACATAATTCGTAAAAGATACGAATTATATATAGTAAATAATTACACTATAATAAGGAGTCTAACTCGTCACAAATATCTTCACAGCAAATCCCATGATTATAAACTATACTTCAACGCTTCATGTGATAATTATATTTCACATGTTCGAATATGCACAAAGTTCGAAAAATTTCTAAAATTTGTATTCAGTTTTGATGAAAACTGAATACTACGTAATGTATAACTTTTGATAATTAAATTATAGTGCATGGGGTTGAGCAATGAGTAATGCTCGTTTAATAAATGCTTCCAAAGTTGCATACAAATAAGTAAAGGCAATTACGGTTGTTACTAGACGTAAGATGGACGTGGCAAAGAAATATTATTACCAACGATATGCACTGTCAATCATGCATGCATGTTGATCGCGTGTCGTCAGCTGCAAGTTATCTTTCCGACGAAAATAAACAGAAAATGGAATCCAGATGGCTCATGCACGTTCCAGTGCCTCGTGTCGCGTGTCGAACGTGCTTAATTGCTCGCGAAACTGTGTCAAATAAAATACCAAATACATGTATTTCGAGTTTTTATTGTCTCGATGTGTAGAATATACGTATGTAGATGTGCACATAGATATGTGTATACACGATATTGATAACTGCATAGAGCTTATTCAGGAGAATTTTCGTATGTGTCATCTGAATCATCATATAATCGGAACAATTCAAATTAATAAAATATCTCTATTTCACAAATGTGATACCAAGAATAGTAAATAAATAAATGGAAAAATAAGAAACTGTGTCTTCATTTGAGAATGTCAGAGATATTTAAAAAATATTAATAGTGGTTGATAGAAATTTGTTTTTTTTTTTTTGAGTTTAGAGTAAAAAAATATTTCTATTTTATAAATATGATATGAATAATAGTAAACAAATAAATGGAAGAATAAGAAATTGTCTTGCTTTGAGAATGTCAGAGATATTTAAAAAAATGACAATTTTGATGATGGAAATTTTTTCTTTTTTAAGCTTAGAGAGCAAATTTGACATTTTATTGGAGCGTTATATATATTTGATCATTCATATTCGATTGATCCAACATCGTGGAAGAAAATATTTACGTATCCACTACTTGTTTTAAATTTACGGAATTACCTGTATAATACCTGTAATACCTATGTATAATACCTATATATAATACCTATATACAATACCTATAATACCTATATGACTCCTATATAATAGCTATACCTAAAATGCCTATATATCAGCTATATAGTAGCTATAAATAAATGCAAAAACATAGTACATGGGTACAATCACAAATATAAATATAGTAAATATGTATTAAATAATTGCAGAACTACCATCTTTAAAAATTATAACTAATTAAATCGACTCAATGAATTAATATTAATATATCCTCGAGAAATAAATAAATATACAGTAACTAATGTCTCAGATATGAATCTCGAATTTCTGATTTTAATTTGTATATAAAATAACACTAACGCGAAATATTTTAAACGACATCGATTTTGCAACTTTTCTCCATTTTAAACATATTTAATGCCTCGAACGGTTCGAAATGGACGAGTATTGGAATGGACGGAAGGAAATGC